GTTTGCTCATGAGGAGTGGAACAAAATACCTGCTGAGAGCTGCTGAAGTCTCACTGACAGTTACAGGAATCATTTGATCACAGTGATTGACTGAAACGGCTGTGCAACAAAATATTAAGTTAAGGGTACCATCATTTCTGTCCAGGCCAGTATATGTTCATGAATGCTATAAACGCATGAGATATTGTTTTTTGTAAATGCCTCCGTGCACATGTCATGTGTGTATGTCTAAATTAGAGCTGGGCGGTGTGACCCAAATTTTATATCACGGTATTTTCAACAATTACACAGGTTTCACGGTTTTTGACGGAATTTTTTCCCTAACAGCTCAATTGATAATAAAATGTACTAAATTTGCTTATTGRCTTTTTTCTTTTACTGTACCTCTGTATCACTGTTTCCCTCCTCTTGTACGTCTTTTCTTCTTTGCCTGGTTGTAGACAYTAATTATGCATTTAGGTCCGATCGTGAAGGGTTGAGAAAAAAATCATTATCTGGTCTATCATTGCGTGTTAATAAAACTTAAAAGGACGAGTCACCTTACACACCAGTCAACTCAGCTACAATACAAAACTACTTCCCCCCTGGCTTTTCACAATAGAAGCACGCTAGAGTCTCCATGCAATAACGTCTCCATTATAACATAGCGCGTTAAATTTAACCGTGCACGTCACTGAAGAGGTGTTTGCTACATTCAGCTATGGTGAAAATGGGATGTTTTTTTTTAACGTCAGACCAAATAAGTAAATAAATCTGATGGTGGTCAGAGGGTCCGGTGGCGCCGATGTATGGCAGCCCCACCTCTGTCAGTGTGCCCCAGGGCAGCTGTGGCTACAGTGTAGTTTGCCATCATCAGTGTGTGAATGTGAGTGTGAATGGGTGAATGTCTGTTAGTGTAAAGCGCTTTGGGGTCCGGAGGGACTTGAAAAGCGCTCTATAAGTTCAGTACCATTTACCATTTACCATAAGCAGCTGAAACACACCACCTGCCGCCAGTTGTTCCAACAATAACATTGGCATGCTAATGCGCTTAGCCGTGCTGCGAGGAAACATGTCCCCAAACAGTTCACTGGCGGCCGCGACGAAGCGTTCCGCACGTGTTCAGGCTATTTACACTGGTATTCAGGAAAGTCATATCATAACAAAAATAAAAACCGGTTTTCGGTACAAACGGTATACCGCCCAGCACTAGTCTAAATATTTGTGTTTCAAAACATGGAACTCAATCAGMGTCTCCATTTCTGTTCATTTCAAACCCCATGACTTGTTATGGTAAAAGAGTTTGTGTGATTAAAATAAGGAAAATCTGAACKAATATCTTTCTCCAACCAAGAACACTTCATGTATGTTGACTGATGTGATTGTTGAAGCTAAAGCAGACTCAAACAGCTGTAATGTTTATTTTGTTCAGTCTGGTRTCACAGTGACCACATCACAGTCCTGATGAATTGGTACAACCATAAGCAGTGTGGGAGCTGAGTTAGAACAGCTCTGCTTTGTGCTTTTTGTCTGTTTGAGTCTCTTACACCATATGCTGACTGTGGGCCTGATGGAGTTCCTGCATCACCAAACAATATATGCCATTCAATCCATATGCACACAGCACAATGCTATTCTCTGTGAATTCCTGCAGAGCAGCAGTCAGAAGGCTCCAGCGTAAAAGCTCCACTGTCTCAGCCAGG